TTAACTGATTCATGTCAACTTTGTAGCCAATTGGTTACCCATGCTGACTTCGGTTCTGATCACCTTCCAGTAACTTTTGAAATATCCCAAGAAATAATTTGTAATCCCAACAGCTCTACTTTCAATTACCATAAAGCTGATTGGGGGCAATATCAAACATTTATGGAATATAACTTCGATCCAAACATTGAATCTCTGACTACTTCTATAGTTGAAGCAAGAGCTGCCTCAGTACCAAAATGCGAGGTTAAATTCGATTCAATTATAATAGACGATGATCTTCAGCTCTTGATCCGTCTTAAAAATGTCCGTAGGAGACAATATCAAAGAACACGCGATCCTGCCATGAAAGTTATCTGGCGGGATTTGCAAAAACAAATTAAAAAGCGATTCTCTGCCCTGAGGAACAAAACTTTTGAAAATAATGTTTCTAAATTAGACCCAAGTTCCAAACCCTTTTGGAAACTCACAAAAATTTTGAAAAAAACCTCAAAAGCCAATTCCAGCGCTTAAAGAAGGTGGTAAAATTTTGATCACAAATTTGGAAAAAGCTCAGAAACTTGCTAAGCAATTCGAGAGTTCTCATAATTTCAGTTTGGCTCTTACTAGTCCTATTGAGAATCAGGTTGCTCGGGATTTTCTGAATATTTTCTCTCGGGAAAATATTTTTGATGATTCCTGGGGGACTGATTTGGACGAAGTAAGGTCTATAGCTAAAAAGTTTCAAAACATGAAAGCTCCAGGTGATGATGGAATTTTCTATATCCTCATCAAAAAACTCCCAGAGAGTACCTTGTCTTTCTTGGTAAAATTATTTAACATATGTTTCCATTTGGCATACTTTCCTGATAAATGGAAAAATGCAAAAGTTGTTCGAATTTTGAAGCCGGATAAAAATCCATCTGAAGCTTCTAGCTACCGCCCAATAAGTTTGCTTTCTTCAATAAGTAAACTTTTTGAAAACGTAATTTTGAATAGAATGATGCTTCACATCAAAACGAACTCAATTTTTGCAGATGAGTAACTGGAGCACCTAGGTTAAAATGAAATGTAATTTATTTTAAATTTGGAACAAATAAAGAGTTAAAAAAAAAATGTTAATTATGCTCTTGAATCTCTGACTACTTCTAAAGTTGAAGCAGAGCTGCCTCAGTACCAAAATGTGACGTTTAATTCGATTCAATTATAATAGAAGCCGATCTTTAGCTCTTGATTCGTCTAAAAAATGTCCGTAGGCGGCAATATCAAAGAATTCTGCGATCCAGCACAAAATTTTGAAAAAACCTCAAAAGTCTATTCCAGCGCTTAAAGAAAGTGGTAAAATTTTGATCACAAATTCGGAAAAAGCTCAGAAACGTGCTATGTAAGTGCTAAGAGTTCAAATAATTTCAGTTTGGGAATTACTAGTTGATCATCAGGTTGTTCGGGATTTTCTGAATAGTTTCTCTCGGGAAAATATGTTCAATGCTACTTGGGAGACTGATTTGGACGAAGTAAGATCTATAACTAACATGTTTCAAAATATGAAAGCTCCAGGTTATGACGCCTCTGAACTTCTCCTCTATCCGACTGTCGATGTTTGGTGCGAAAGATTGCCAACTCTTATCTCCGAACCAGTGAATCTTGGCCACTCCCTCGCTGAGGAGGCAGATTCTGCCGTTTCGGGCGATATTTGCTGAAAATGCAGCGGCTTTGTTGGCAAAGGCTGCGTGGATGCGGTACCGGAAAGGGAGAATGCCGGCTTCGACTCAGCTGGCATCGGCTGGCATTGAGGGCAGGAGACCGGAGATGATGCGCCTGTAGCTATTGCGAGCGTTTGTATTGCCTTGTCGGTGGCGATGCAGGTCAACTCGAGTCCATACGTCAGCCGGTTGTCTACGATGGCCCTGGCAACACGGAAACGTACTTTTCTGTTGTTGGAGCGGAGGGGACGGAAGATTGTGCGGATGAGGCAGATCCTGCCGCTTGACGCCTTGAAGGTGCTGGTCAAAACTCAGCGACCGGTCAATGACAACCCCCCGCAGTTTCACAGTTTTCTTCAGTTTGATGACTTGATCACCGATCTTTATGGAAGGTCCGCAGACCCGATGCAGGTAAACGTGGCACCTAGCGCTCTTTCCAGCAGACAGCTGAAAGCCTTTCGAAGCGACCCATCTGGCCACGGCGGAAACCCCTGCTTGGGCTCTAATCCTCGTCCGTCACGGAGTCTGACTTGTGACTACGATTAGCACGTCGTCTACGTACCAGAAGATGTAGATGTTAGCTGATAACTGCTCGAAGACACTGTTCATGGCTACCAGGAATAAGGTGACAGCTATCACTGAACCTTGAGGATGCGGGATTTGGAATTACCTACCGAGTCTCGGAAGGACCTACCAGGAAATTTCAAACGAAAAGGATGATATGGCCGCTAAGGCCCCAGCTGACGAGTTGTTTCAGTACCGAGGGCGTCCATGTACGGTTGAAAGCTTTCGCAATGTCCAGGGAAACCAACCCCATATGGAGACCGTTATCCTTGGTGTCCTTGAGGAGCTCTCCTAGCGTCGCAAAATACGTGTATGTACCGTGGCCTTGTCGATGGTCTAGAAGGCCACCAGCCTCGAGAAACTGCTTCAGGTATCGGTTGACCATCCGCTCGCAATGGGCCGAAACTTCGCCACGTCCCGTGTCGGTTCGTTTGCTTTGGGAATGGGAACAACCAAGCTCTCCCTCCCATGATCTGGATACGAGTCCGTCCGCCAAAGCTGGTTGAAGAGTTCCAGCTTTTTTACTTTACCCGGAGTAGGCAGGTTCTTGAGCAGCGGATAACCAGTCTTGTCTGGGTCGGCTGAATTCCCGTTGCTTCTACTAAGCGCTAACTGAAACTTCTGCCAGGTGAAATCCTGGTTGATCCACAGGTTGTTCATGTCCGGAGAAAACCGAAAACTGCTTACGGACGAATTCGATGGGTTTACTTTCCGTTGGGTGGCCTCCTCGTACTTGGAAATCGCCAAGCTTATCTGCAACGATTTCGGGGTCGGAGAGTGCAACGCCGTCTACCAGGATATGCAGTGGGGACGTGCGGTGCTTGCCACTGAGGGTGTTGACCTTATCCCAGAGCTCCGCCGACGACTGTGAGGCGTTTATGCTTTCGAGGAAGTCCGCCCAACTGGATCGTTTTGCATCTCGGACCAATTGGCGACACTGGTTGTGTCGTTCTCGATAGGTACAGAGCGCTTTGTCCCTATCCGGATCATCGATGGGAAGCCGTTTGACTCGTCGAAGGGCTTTTCACCGGGCCTTGACTGCCCTCTTCGTTTCCTCGTTCCACCATCTGAGGGCTTTAGCCCCGGAATGCTGCAGGTTTTCGGGATGGTTGCTGACGCAGCTGCGTTTATTGCTTCAGTGAAATTCTCGATGCTGTCTGGGTTACGTTGTTGAAGGAGGGACGTAACTCTCCCAATCGGCTTCGGCAAAGCGCCATCCAGGTCTACGAGTTGCTGCCGGTATAGCAAAGAGCTGCACCTGAACCGGGTAACGATGGCAACCGTAGAGGTCCGGATTGACGCTCCACTACATGCTTCCAGCGAGGGAACGACTAACAGCAGTTACATCGATCGCCGTGGTGTGCCGTCCATTGAAAAAGATCGGCGATCCGTCATTGAGGATTTCGAACTTGTCTACCAGTGTGGAACTTCTCGAGTCGAACCGGAGGCATCCCCAGCTGGAGCGATGCGCGTTCAAGTCTCCGAAAAATATACGAGGTTCAGGTAGGTTATCGAAGATGCTGTCGATTTGACCGTTGAGGTTTGCTACTCTCCCATAAGCCAGGCATGCGCATGCTATTGCGATATTGGCTGGTTCCTCCAAGCAATCTCCCAAAATGGGAATTTCTGAGTCAAGGTCGATAAACCGAAAAGGGACCTCCTTTAAAACCCCGATGACAACGGAGTGTCGGAAATTGTTCCCGCGTTTAACTGTCCAGCAGTATCTACCGCCCAACGAACGGTTCATCTTCTCAACTGTAACCTTGTTGACTTCGTGGATTGCTATCACCTAGGGATAGTTGGCTTGACATAGCAGCTCCAAATCCGCTAGATGATGCAAGAAACCGTTGATGTTCCATTGCAACAGGAACTTTATCGGCTTAGTAAAATCCGTTAACCAGAGGAACAAGTAACGGTGATGGCTGCTGCTCTGATCGTCGGGTAGACTAATATCGAACATGCTCGATGCATCGTAGTGCTGTCAAGTGTGATTGCCAAGTCAAGTGAAATATCTTGGATTAGTGCTTGACCAAAAATTAAATTTTAAAGATCACATTGAGGGCATTCAAGCCAAATATAACAAATATATAAAATGTTTGTATCCTCTTATAAACAGGAAATCCAAACTATGCCTGAAGAATAAACTTCGAATATTTAAACAAGTTCTTAGACAGGCCATGCTTTATGCTGTGCCAATATGGTCAAGTTGTTGAACTACCAGGAAAAAGCAATTGAAAGGATTCAGAACAAAGTTCTGAAGACGATTTTTAAGTTGTCTCCCTGGTACATTACTACTGAAGTATGTACATAGAATTTCGAATGTTGAGACTTTAGAATGTCCAACAAAATAATAAATAATTTCAGGCATAAATCGTTGTAATCCTCAATTGCAACGATTAATTCCCTTTATACTAAGATAAGAATTAGTTTTAGTTTTTAGTTTTAAGATGTCAACTGCTATACTGACATGCAGGTATAGAAAACCTGTTTAAAATACTGAATTGCCAAGGCAGGAACCATGTAAAAACACTTAGATATATATCATAACAATTAAAGCTGGTAAGTTACTGTAGTAGCTAGAGCACCTAGGTTAAAATGGAATGTAATTTATTTAGAATTTGGAACAAATAAAGAGTGAAAACGGTTTAAGTTTTAAAAAAATCAAGTCACTCGGCTCCGTAAAGTTCTTGGTAGAAAGCAACCGAACAAATAATTATTGAAAAAAGAAAAAAAAATGAACCACTCGAATCATACCTTTTAGCGACGGCAGCTGCTGCAGCTCGACGTCCTGTGAACTCCGGTACCGCGATGAACCCTGAGATTTTTTACCCTTCTTTTTGAGCGAACGTTTGGCGAACGGATCGATTCGATCGACGAATGTTCCGGACGACATTGTTACACTGTAGTAGTAGTAGCAGCAGTAGTAGTAGAAGTAGTAGTAGTAACAGTAGTATTAGTTGTTGCTCTTTTCTTCTTGCTTGTTTTCTTTCTCTCTCTCTCGCTCTTTCCGGGTTTGAGTTGGTGATTTAGGAGATAATGATGACAATGATGACGACGATGGATCTTCTTTCTTCTCTCCCCTTCTTCTTCTTCTTCTTATTATTATTATGATGCACAATCGGTTATTGTGGTTGTTGTGGTTGTACAGCAGTAGTAGCGAACGCGACGATTGTGGTTTGCGGGCTCACTCACACACACTCACGCACGCACCCGAGCACGCATACGGAACACAAACACACGCGCACACACACGCTCACGTAGCGATTGTGTGTGTGTGTTTTTATTTTTCGATTTCCCTTTTGCTGCTCGTTCGCCTCTGTCGCTTCTCGGTAGACGATTGACGTGTCGGAGACCGATTCGTGACTTCCTGATTGACAGATAAATTTTTCTTCTTGTCTCAACTTTTATTTGATGGATTGGGTAATACTTGGTCGATTCCTATCTCGGGCGGCTATCACTTTTGCTTCTTAAGGTAAATTGTGAATGATCAATTTCGGCTTGTTTTGCACTGCACACTTCCTTCAATTAAATAACTAACTTTCAATATGATACAATCATCAAATGACTTCTTGCTCTTCCCATGCACTTTCTTCTTTTCACGTGTTACGCATGCTGCAAAAGAAAGGAAAAAAACACACAGAAATTGAAGATCAATTTCAACACCCTTTTCGATTGGGAGCACACTTTTCTCAAACACTCGGCTTCCGGACGAAAGGAGGTTGCCTTTTCTTCTTCGTCGGCTATAATTTGCTCTTCTCGCCAAATCCAAACATATTATCACAGTAAAAAATAACCCGCGAACCGACTGTCAAACATTTCCACAATAGAAAATGTAAACACAACGGCGCGGCGCGTTGAAGCGGTTAATTTTATGGACTCAAAAATCAAAATATAGGCAGACACACGACGGTACGCGGCAGTAATGCGATATGCCGTTTTATTTTTTTTTTCGCTCTTCAACAAATCACCGCAAGCGCATTGGTTTTCGACGATTCATCCCGTTGCCACCGCCGGCCGCCACTGGTTTGACGCACCTTCTTTCTTTCTGTCTCGGATGATGATGATCGGTGGGAAGCGCGAAGCGATTGACGTTCGGTGACGTTCGAAGCGGTGACGGTGATAAGAGTGTGAGTGCAAATTTAGAGATCGTTTCTCGTCGATCGCTGGCTGATAATGATGATGGTTGAGAGGCTGAAACGAGGGAAAATTGAAAAGAGAGAAGATCGTAAGTTACATTGTGTGTTTTGATAAATTGGCATTAATTGAATGCTGATGGGTTTTGAGGTGGGCACGGAAAGTGGAGCAGCAGCGATGCTGTGATGGTGGTGGTGGTGACTGTGTGACGCACATGGCGCGCACATACTCGGTCGGTTGGTGTGACGATCGACGACGGTCAGCTGATGATGGATTTGCGACGGCGAGTGAGGGGGAGACTGTCACATTTGTCAATTTGAGTTGAGGAAATCGGACGTTTCGTCCCGAAAAAAATGACACACTCAAATCAGGTTATGTCTTATCACAGGCCTGGTAGCGATCCTTTCCTGAAGAAATAAGTGACTAAATAGTGACTTATAGTCGTAACAATAGTGACTAAAAAGTGACCTAAGAGAAGAAAAGTAGTCGTTATGATGGCACACCAAATAAATGTTTGATGTTTTAGACTTATTCAATAAGAATCTCAAAAACATTTATGTACGATATAAACCTTTAAAGCGATAGATTCAAAAGAAAGTTTATGGCTAAACCCACAGTATAATTCAGGGTGTCTACTAACTGCAAGAACCTTAAAACCGGGAATCCTCAGAAAATTTATTTTGTCCTTAAAATACCTGGAAGTCTCAGAAAATTTAATAATTTGCTTACTAAAGATATTTTATGGAAAAGAATGGATTTTAAAATACAAGCATTTAATTTTTCTCGTTACTCTCATTCACACTTTGAACTTTATAGATCCACAGTAACAAATAAATTAAAAAAAAAACAGGGGCTTGAAATGTTTTTTTTTTATTAACATGGATGTTTCCTAGAAATTTTAAATTTTAACTAGTTTCTGGACTTAAAAACAACTATAATACTTCAAGAAATTTTCAAGAATCTGAAGTCAAATTCCATGCAGAGTTTTAAAGGCTCGGGGAATTTCATTATAATTTCTAAGGACCTCATTCCAAGGGAGTTCTGGGAAAAAAATCTTTCAGAAAAACATCAAATGCAATCTGCATTCAAGGTAGTTCTGAGGAATTTAAGATTTCATGAGAAGCCTGATAGTTTTGAGTAGAATTTCAAGAAACCCTGAATTGAATTAAAAGTAAATTTTAAAGAAAACTCATAGGAATTTCTAAGGAGCACAAATCATGTGAACCGCAAGGGAAAATTCCAATGGCATTCTGAGGATAATTCCATAACATTTGTGGGAGAAAATGAATCCGGAGCATAAGTCCTTGGATTTTTTTTTTAAATACTAAAAGGAGGAGAACAATTAAATCTGAGAATAACTCTTCAATCAAAGGAATTCGAAATATTAATTCAGGAGAGTTTGCCAAACAAACTATGAGAAGAAATCTAAGGAATTTGTGAGGAGAAATGCCAATGAATTCTTATGAGACTTTCAATGAGCTTGAACTTGAGCTTGATTGACCGCCCACGGTTGCTACTCTGTTACTGCCAGATCAGCTGTAATTACACAGAGAACCAATAGACGATGCTTGGGACTAACAATCATCCTCAATGTGTAAAAACTGGTGATCTTAAATTAGGCAATACCAGCGCCGGCCGCGCCCGAACACAGGTCAAGAAAGGAATGGGAAGGATTGTGTTGACATGACACTCGCTTTGATGGAAGCCGAGAACACCTCTGCACTTCCACGAGGAATCACTGGGATGTTGGATAAGAGGGTTGGGTTTGCAACAGGGTTCGTTTTGGTAAACGATAAGCTGAATTGATATCCTAACGATCATATAACGCGAAGGAGCTTGGGACTAAACCCACGGTCTTCTGCTCAGTAAGCAAAAACGTTTGCCACTAGGCAGAGGAGCACCTTTTTAATCACCGAATTGCTGTTATTACCATGTAGTCATATTAACAAATAAAACGATTGACGAATCTTGAATGTGGATGGGCCTGAGATTAGACTCATGATGTTCTGCTCAGTAAGCAAAAACGGTTGCTCTAAGGCCACCGAGCCCCTCATATCACATAATACCGTTGCTCAAATTTGTGTATCCATTCAAACCCGGAACCAACGACAACAACGAGTTTCACAAAATACACGATACACAAGCGATTTTACCATAAATCTCTTTGATATGTAAGGACCTGGGACAGCGTTTTTCTGCTCAGTAAGCAGGTCACTGTAACCGACGATCTTTCAAATCCGAAAACTAAAAACTACGAAAAAGTACTTAGGCCTTCATTAAGTTCCACTTTCACGCGACGTTCAATGACAGGGTCCTATCCAGGATTACATCTGAAAAATCCAAATCTGGCCAACGCCCACCTAAATCTGTTCTAATCCACCTGAAATGACTAACGAATGGAAGACTTTGACTACCCAGCCATGCAATAGTTTCATTCCGTGCCTTATGGCAACTTGATGATTCTATTGCGCTCATCTTTTGGCACCACCCAGGGGAGACTTGGTCCTGTACCCAATGCTTAACTTATCTCCATTCACCTCAGCTACTCGCAATTTCTTGTGATATAGTGGGCGGAATATTATTATATGAGACAATTCAATGCAGATGTCTTTCCAAATTTGGCAGATCGACAGGTAATCGGTGAGTTACCACGATAGTTGCTATTCAACAACTCGACAACGTCCCATCGTCAACGCCTGCTATGAGAATTTCCCATTGCAGACGCCAACGAAATGACGTCATCGAGCTATCGATCAACTACCCTGGTTATCGCCTGGTACCTTGTAGCACGATGCTAGAAGGCGAACCGGAAGAATCGATGAGCTACCTCTCCCCCAGAATTCTTATGAGACTTTCAATGTGAGAAAAATTCCAAGGGAGATTCAAAAGGAAATCTGAAATGAATTCATTTATGAGAATCTTATTGTGGAGATTTGCAAGGTAATTTTGAGAAAAGCTAAAAGAAACTTGTTAATGAAACTACCTTGAAGTTTTCTTGTAATTTGAGAAACTAGCCTGCTCACAATACTACTCATCAAATTCCTAAACTTCCCTGAACTTTGTAGGACTTCCTAAAGATTTCCTAATTTTTCTAACATGGAACTCCTCTAAAGGTTTAACAATTCGCTGAAGTTCTCTCAACTTCATTAAAATTTATGTGACTTCTCTAAACATTAGAGAAGTCATATAAATTTTAAAGAAGTTTAGAGAACTTTAGCGAATAGTTAAACCTTTAGAGGAGACCCATGATCGTTAGAAAGATTAAGGAATCTTTAGGAACATAACGGAATTGCTCTGAGGATCTCTGTTCATTTCTGAAATTCTCAAAACTGCTCTAACGTTTATGCAGTTTTCATGAAGCTTGTTGTACTGCGCTGAATTTCTGAACTGTATCTTTTAAGAACTCGCAACTTTATTAAAATTAATTGATTTGCCTTGAAGTTTCGACAATTTTCCTTAAGTATTCCAACCATTATAAACGCTCACTTATTTTCCCTGAACTTATCGATGCTTACCTGAAGTTCTCGAAATTTGTTAATCCGGAAAATTTTCTGATATGCATTCAAAATTGCCTGTAAGGCGCAGCTACAAAGAAGACCATGCTGGATGTGGCTGGGTTCAATTCCCGGTCCGGTCTAGGAATTTTTCGGGTTGGAAAATTTCTCGACTTCTTAAGGCATAGAAGTATGATTGGACTTGCCACACAATTATACCAATGCAAAAATGGTACAGGCATCGAAAGCTCTCAATCAATAACTGTGGAAGTGCATCTAGAACACTAAGTTGAGAGCACGCAATAAGCTAATATGCGATATGCAATAAGCTTGAAATGCGAAGAAGAAGAAGATAGGATTATTCTGAAGCAATCTGATCGTCCTCGAAGTACTCGAAACTTCGCTGAATATCATGAAAATTTATTAGAAGTTCTCTGGAATTTCTTAAAGATATCGCTGCTTGCTAAAAGTTGTCGCCTTTTTTAAATAATATAACTTCGTTGATATTCTGATAAAATTTTGCTTAGCTAAATTTTCGCATTTTTTAAAGTTCTGGAAATCCCCATGATATAAAACCCTTAAAATACTCTCACTTTTTTCGGATTTTCATATAATTTTTATCACGGCCCAGAAATTCTCTCGGAGCTTTGCTGAAGTTTCCAGAACTTCTTTAGGGTTTCTACAATTTCCATGAAATTATTTAAATTGCCCTTTGATTCTCTGATCTGTCTTGATGCTCTCGAAGCTTCCTTAAAGCTCTCAATTCTATTGAAGATAAATTTCCCTGAAATTCTCTGGACTGCTGTGAAGCTCCTAAAATATTTCTGAACCCTCTTATGGGTTCTCAATTTTTTCTAACTTTACGATTACAGTTCTTCAAACTGCTCCAAAAGTCTGAACTAAAGTCATGGAAACTGCTCTTAAGATCTGAAATTTCCCAAAAAATCTCTAGATCTAGCTTTTTTGAGGTACTTAGAACTTCTTAAAAAAATGCACAATACTCCTCAAGTTTTCTATATTTCTCAAGTTCGCTTAACACCTATGATGTGCTCTGAAATTCTAGGAGCTTCATAAAAGTTCCTGAAAATTTTCGTATGTTAAAAAAACCGATTTGAGGGTCTTAAAGCTTCCATTAAGTTCCCCATATTTTCAGTGTGTTAACTTCCCTTATGTTCCCACAGTTTGTTCATCGAGCTTTAGTGAAACTCTCGGCATTTCCTTTCATTCAGCAGAACTTTTTCAAAGTTCCTACACTTGTTAATGGGACTGCAATTAATATCTCTAGTCTTTCATAAAGTTAATTACGAACTTGAAATAAATCATTTATTTGTTCCCTTAATTCAAGCACATTGAAAATTTCAAGACATTGAATATTTATAGATCTTGGACTTACTCATGTTAATTACGTTTTTTTCACTTTATTAAAGTGAGAAATTAATTAAATGCTAAACTTCAACATTCACTGGAATTGATAGTAAAGCTGTTTCTTTAAAAGTTATCACAGTGTGTTTGGTTTAATTACTGTTATTTTTGATCTTAATAAAAAGCATATTTTTTAACCTT